CTCTCTCCCTCGCTCCCGCCTCTCCTGAACCTCAGCAACTTCTTTTTTTTTATAATTTACCCCCCAAAACAATTGTTTATTGTAATCTTCTTTCTTCGATGCTGCAGGGTTTTTTCGCGGCGAGCGAGCGAGCGAGCGAGATTTCGCGCGCGCTCACTCCGCCGGCGACGAGAAGGAGAGAAGAAGAAAGGAGGGAAATGGAGTGGGGGCGGGAATATAATAATTGGGGAAATTGAGGGGGGTGAGTGGATAAATGAGCGGAGGAGCGGGCCCCACGGGTTGGTTTTTTGGTTGGTTGAGCCTTCAGCTTGTCACCGATCACGCCGTTATTTCTAACGTCGTCTGAGTTGACGGAAGTCGCCTATCAGGTGGCCCCGGTGATCTAGCCACTATTCGTTTGTACCTGATTTGTCATAAATGCCCTTTCAAAAGTGTGGCTCTGGCGAATTTGAGGGGGGTAGTTTGGTCAATATATAAAATATTCGACTGTTGCTTCACACTTTTCTCGCGCTGTACGAATTTTGACCGCGACAGATTCGGATTTTTGTTTTCAATAGTTGCTTTGTATCAGTCTTTCGAAGATGTGATTTAAAATGTATAATGTAACAGAATATTATCTTCATTAGATGAGAGTATGAATAATCTTCGGAATACTACACTTTCTTTGTTATGGTTTATTACCGCACAATCAAATAGAGCGTAATTCAAATTTGGAATTGTAGTGATAATTAGGCGAAGGAAAAAAAAATATAGAATTAATTTCCATATAACAAAAATAACAAAAATAAAAGTAATCATACCTCTCTTTACAATCAAGATATTATGGAATATCTAATTATTCTGTGAGACAAGCAAAAAGGAACAATATTAAAAAAAAAAAATCTTAAACCAATAGTGTAATAAGAGATCTATATGACTTGAACATTGTAACGATTTATTAAGGTGAGGTGAAAAGAAGGTTAACATTAAAGAGGTTAAGAGATTGCTGAGTTATTCACGTGCCTCGTAGCATGCGAACGTTACGTGACAGCTAAATGTATTCAGAGTGGATCATTGCAAGAGCGTTACATAATCTTCAAGTTTTTCACTCAGACAACAATGAGATTTACATATAACACTAAAAAAAAATCATGAAAGTGACACCCTCCGGGCCCGCAGGCCCGTTGGCACGTGCAAGCCGTGGGACCCACCGAGTGTAACGTACTGTTTGGCTCAAACCATTGTCAAAATCGACTAGGCGATGTTACATTTGAGTCTTTAGCTTTCACTATATATAAACACCTCAATTTCTTACTCTCCCACCGATGTGGGACTACATTAGTGAGATGTCACAGAAAGTACCGGTCATCTCTTCATGAAGGGGACGATTAGCGCTTAACTCTTTCCTTATTTGCTCTTATTTACATTAATATTGCACGTTTACTTGAAGATGAGCGAAAGCCTATCTATCTCGTCTTACTAATTTATTTTTGCGTGCACCCTATTGAATTAACGTAAGAATTGGCAAGGCAGCATTGACAGTTTTGAAATAATATACCGAACAAGTACTAAAAAAACAGAAATAATATATCAAACAAAAACATACATTGTCTTTTCTTGTTTTCGGGATATTTAATTTTAAAGTACCGGTATTATTCCTCTAGCATGTGACATAGTTTTAATGGTGTAAAACCTTCATTGGCGAGGTTTTTACAGATTGGTCCCACTTCGGCTAGCTTTCTTCGGGGGGGTTAGTCACCTAGAACTAAAAATTAGAATTGGGATAATCTGTGGGATAAATTTTTAAGGTGTTAGTCACATAGAACTAAAACTAGAACAAAATTTTACAATAATCTGTGGGATAAATTTTTAAGGTGTTAGTCACATAGAACTAAAACTAGAACAAAATTTTACAGTGTTAGTCAAGTAGAACTCTAACAAAACTAGAATTGGGATAATGGTACAAAATTATCCCACCTTTTTCATTTTTCTATACAAAAATGAGAGTTCTAGTCTCTCAAATTATTCCAAATTTTAGCTTGGAACTAAGTGGTAAAAAAACTAGAACTCATATTTATTTTGTTATTTTTTATTTCTTATATTTTATTTTTTCTTTACTTCTTTCCTGTTATGGTTATCACCATCATTAGACCATCATTATAATAATAATTGTCAATATCTTATAGTTTAACTAAAACATTCTTGTAAGTAATTATCAATCAATAATAGTAAGTTTAAAATACATAAATAGTATTTATATCTTCAAAATGCATAAATATATATTTCACGATTATAAAAATTTATCCCACGTTATTTTATCAAAATATTCCGCTTCACAAAATTGTTCATATTTGTCCCACTAAAATATCCCACTAGCAAAAAATTATTCCGGTTTAACAATTATCCCATTTTATATGAAAATGTCTCAATTGACTAACACCCCCTTCGGCAGTACTCAGCGTGGCTGTTAGATAGAAAAATAAGAGGCGCTGTTTGCTGTTTGTAATTTTAGAGAGAGAAGTATCAATTCAGTTATTATCTATGTCAATGGAAAGTATCTAGTATAGACGGTCCCTGTTATTTAATGTGCATCAAATAGTAGGATAGATGTTAATTATTGAATTCGTGTCTGTGTATTTTTGGACCTTATGATACTCTCTCACGGCACACTCAACAAGCGCGTGGGAGGAGTAGAGGAGAGAGATATGAATGATACACGAGAGAGAGAAGGGTAGAGAAAGAGAGATAAATTGTTGGTTTCGGGAGTGTAGAACTAAACCTTGAATCGAAAATCACAAACAACACAAAAATCCTCTTGTCGGTCGACCGACACAAGCTCATCGGTCGACCGATGTGAAGCCAAAAACACTACAGGAGTTTCGGGACAGTCGACCGATGGCCTTGCCCTGGTCGACTGAAAATGTGCACGAAAAACCCTGTAGAAAATAGGGCTCTGGCCGGTCGACCGAAGAAATGCTATCGGTCGACCGATAGTGATCAACCAGTCGACCGATGCAATGCTATCGGTCAA